CCTCCGTGCGCAAGCAGCCTCGAGGCCGGCTTTCTCAAAGAAGCCGGACAAGGATCGCGTCAGCTGGGTGACGGTGGTGGTTTCCAAAGCAACTTTCCGACCCAGCCGGGAATGGAGGGTTGGCTTCGAAGCTCTGCTATCTCAATTATTAGACGTGGAATTTGTATGCAAACAGCTTTCCATGGACGCACGTGGGATTTTTCTCTCCACTGTAGATCCAGCCTTCCGTGCTGGACCCTGGGCTGCCTCGGGGGGTTTGGAGCCAGGGGCTGGAGTGGAGGGCCAGGGGTGCCAGCACCCAGAGAGGCAGCCGGGGCCCAGGGAGGGCACCTCCTCTGAGGGTGCCTGTCCTCACCAGCCGCCCACCCTCAGGGCAGCTAAGTTTCATCCACCCGTGGTGGCTGTACCCATGCTTAGTACCCAGAGTCAGGCCAGTGCCTTTCCCCCAAGGATCCGGAGTTCTGGGGCTGGGATTGCAGAGCTGACGCATCAGCAAGCAGAAGGCTCCGCCCAGGAGCCCAGAGGGAACTAAACCGCTGGCCTTTGCTCAGGCCACTCCCCTTCCCCCTTCCGGGAGTTCCCTTCCTCCACCCAAGTCCCAGCACTCAGGCCCACCCCTCCAAGCCCTCAGCCCCCTGCCCCTCCCCGTGTGATGCTTCAGGGGGAAGGAGACCTCTCCCTCCAGCTTATCCACATCTGGTAACCACTTCCCCACTTCCTGCCCTGTCACACCAGGGATGGCTGACCGTTGTCTGTGCAATGGGCGACCTTGAGGGCTCTGGACACCCCATGTGGCATCTCTGTTTGGTTATGTCATCTCCAGACACGCTTTTGTTCCCCTCGCTTCTGTCTTCCTGTCTCCAGCCAGAGACCCACCAGGGCTGGTCAGAGCCGGGCTGTCCCAGGGGTGGTGTGCTCCTGGCCTGGCACGTGGCCAAGCTTTGCCTGATCCCCCCGCAGCTCGTGGGCTGGTCACCCTGAGGCCCACTGTTGAAAGCACGCTCGTCGAGGCCACACACTGGTGGGTCTGAGTAGGGCCCTGCCAGGGGTGCCTGCCCAGGAGCCCTCTGACCGCAGGAGCCAGGGCCTCACTGACAGGCCCGCGGGGGCAGCTCTGGGTTAAGTCTCCGTAATGGTGACTCTGGAGTGTCGTCCACCAGCTGCCACACTGGGCAGGGGGGCGGGGAGCCACTCCCCTGGACGCTTTTCCTTGTGACGGTTGGTCCCCCCTTCCTGTCCTGCACCACCCATCAGCCGGGCACGGGCAGGTCTCCCGGGGGGCTGCCGTCACCGCTGAGGACGTGGCTCGGGGCAGAGGCCAGTGTGTTTTTATTCTGTCCCGGGGCGTGCATGTCTTCTTGCCATCACCCCCCAAATCCTACCCCTAAGACAGGGCAGAGGGGGACACTGAGGCCCTGTGTGGGGGAGGCTGGCTCAAGGCCACAGGGCGGCTGCAGCAGAGCTGGGGCCAGGCCTCAGGATGAGACCTGCCCTGGACTTCCTTTGCTTATTGGTCTTGCTGGGGTGACCACCAGGGCGGCCACAGGGCCGGGATTCAATTCCCTTAGTGCCCCAGGCCCCAGCACACAGATGCTGGCCGCTGAGGAGTGGACAGTGGTCTGGAACGGGAATGGAGGCCTCAGGTCCAGCCCACCTCCTGGCTCCTGGGCTCCCTCCTCATCTGCCTTCTCCCCAACCCATCCATACCCTGTTCCGTAAAACCTGTGCCCTCGTGGGTCTCTGCCCCTCAGGGCTCCCGAGCCCAGGAGTGTGGGCTTATTTGGGGAGCCCAACTGCGATTTCCCAGGGCAGGCCTCGGCCTCCTGCCGCCTTGCCCCCCAGACACCCCCAGTGTCCAGCACAGTGAGGGGCTCCCCAGAGCAGCTCAGATAAGGCCCACTGTAGCCCAGTGAGTAGGGCCTCGGCCAGGGGAGGCACCGTCATGATAGGCTGGTCGGGGGACCCAGAGCTGCCCGGGCTGGGAGCCTGACAACCTTCTGGAATTCTGTCCAGCAGACGGGGCTGTGGCTTCAATAGACATTGACCCAGACCTGGGGGAGGGCATGGCTGGGCCATGGAGACCCAGTAGACCCTCACCCCCAAGCGGTGCCCTGGCTGGAGAGAGTGCTGGGCGTGGGTTAGGTGTGGCATGGCAGGTACCCCTGCTGGAGCAAGGACCCACGAATCCCAAACCAAGTGTGGGCCTCACCTGGGCCTCTAAGATCGTGGCTGTTTCAACTCCCTGAGAGATGCCCCAGGGTCAAGGCTGGTGTCTGGCTGCCTGGGACTCAAACCCAGGCAGTGGGACTCCAGAGGCCTCACTCAGTGACCCTGGTCCCTTGTTGGCCATCCCTGGCCCAGGGCCCTCATGGCCTGGTGGGGGTCATGGGGGCGAATCATATAAGTGGGGCTGGTGGGTGTGATCGCCCAGCCCCCCGTGAGGGCAGGGACTCGTGCGAGCCCCTCTGTGTCCGTAGGGCCCAGCCCAGGCCCCCCTAGAGTGGGGTCAACAAGTGAGTGTTAGCAGAGGCCGAATAAGCAAATTAACACATTGATGAAAGATGAGTCAGTGTGATGGGCCCTAGTGGGCTTTCTCCTGCTGAGAGATGCAAGGTGGGCTTCCCAGAGGAGGTGACATGGGAGCAGCTTCTAAGGTGGTGGGATTTGGACGTGCAGGAAAGCGGGGAGGTGCCCCAGGGGCAGAGGCCGCGTGGAGGGATGATGCAGGGCAGGCTCAGGGAGCCCCGAGTGGACCTGTTCGGCTCCATCATCCAGCTTGGGGTGGGAGCCAGCGTGGACGCGAGCAGTGGCCTTGGCTGGCACAGGTTGGTGACCTCTCCCTCCACCTCAAGCCCCTCAATGCACCTAGCTGGGGAATCGGGGATTCAGGTGGCTGCGTCGGTGGGCAGCGATGCTCTGCAGACCCCAGTGCATTGCTGTACTCTGCGTCCTCAGATGCTGGGCTAGGAGCAGCAGGGGCTGACCCTGGAGTGGGATGGGGAGGCAGTGCTTGGGCGTGGGATCCGAGAGTGTACGTTAATGACGGTCTTGGGCATTGCGGCTGAAAGTGTGGCTCCGCGTGGGTATCAGTCACGGGCGCTTCCTCATTTATCCCTCAGAACAGTGTGGGTTGCTAGGACCATTATTCCCATTCACAGACGGAGAAACTGAGGCCCAGAGAGGTTACATGTGAAGGGTTTGCCTTCCCTGGTGGTGACACCATTGTCGTCATAGCTGTCCTTTGTAGATCAGATCACAGGGTGTTCTCACCCACCTCACCTCTGCAATGTTAGCGTACCCAGTTTACAGATGGGGACACTGAGGCACAAGGAGCTCCAGAGCCCACGCCCCCCAGCAGGCTGCATGCTGCCTGCCCCCCTCCCTCTGCCACCCAATTGTGGGGAGTGGGAGCAGCAGGAGGGAGGGCTGGCGTGGGCAGAGATAGACCCCCTCATTCGTTCAACAAACCTCCCGGCTCTGGGAGCTGAGCCCCGGCTATAAAAATCGACCAGAAGGTCCGGACCCTCAGTGAGCCTCGACTTCCCTGTCTGCAGAATGGGGCCACAAGCGAGTCATCCCCAAGGACCCGCCACCCCTACCCTGCAGGGTTGATCCTTAGGTTTCTGCAGCGAAAAATTCTTTCCTAAGCATTTTCAAATCCTTTAATCTCAGTTCATCCTCCTAGGAGGGCCCTGAGGGAGGCCCAGGAGGAGCCCAGGATCAGTGCAGTTAAGCGGCTCTCAGCCCGCTGGGGCAGAGCCAGGCAGGTGGGGGCCGCACTGGCACCACTGACGTCACCACAGGAATGCCGTAATGTTATCGTTAGGTGCCGTCCAGTCGGCGCCGACTCATAGCAACCCCATTATAACAGAAGAAACATTGCCTGGTCCCGTGCCATCCTCACAGTAGTAGGTATGTCTGAGCCCGTTGTGGCAGCCACCGTGTCAATCCAATGACGATAATGAGGCCTGGCGTTTCGTGGCATTCACCTCACACCGTCCCTTCCTTGTTCTGGCTCATTAAGCTCCCCAAGGAGCTGTTGGTGCCCTGTGATGCCCAGGCTACAGGTGAGGACTTGGGCCAGGGCGGGCGGGCTTGAACTCGGCATGTCTGGCCTTAAATTGTGCCCTCCCTCCCGATCCAGTGTCTCCACCTTCACGTTCCTTGTATGGCTGTCCTCTGTCGCTCCCCCCTCTGCATCCCCTGTGGGCCTAAGTTCTCCATGGAACACTCCTCCTGTCCTCAGCACACTGGGCTCCTTGCTGTCCTGCCCCATGGCCTTTGCACCTGCTGCGCCCTCATTCTGGGCCACACGGCTCCTCCCTCCCTTCTCAAATGTCACCTTCCACCTCCACAGAGAGGCCCTCCAGACGCTCCTGTCTAAAGCTGTTCCCACATCCCACCCTCTGCGACCCTACCGCTTGCTTTATTTACCTTCAAGCATTTATAAAGCCTTCTGTATGGGGGTGTGTGTGTGTCTGTGTGTCTTGTTAGCTTCCTCACTAGGCCGTAGGCATCACAAGGGCAGGGCTGTCCCTCCCATTCAGCTCATGGCTGTGTTCCAAATGCCCAGAAAAGTGGGGGGCTCCATGCATACTTGTGGGGGGTTAAAGGAAGTCCTGTTAGCAGTAGGCAGGGACCCCAGGGATGGAGGAGTCAGGACAGGGCCCCTTGTTGAGTTCCCCACCTGCTCACCGGGCATCCCCACCCCTGGCCCTGCCCGCCAGCATCAGGTTGCCGCTGATTCTTGCCATCCGAGCCTGCGTCCTCTGATTCAGTCTCACCTTCTGCACAAAGAAAAGGAGGCGACTGGGTCGCCTGGGGGGTGAGGTCACTCATTCCAGAAAGGAAATTGGTTGGCGGCGTTTCCATCATCCTGAGCCCCTGCTCCACACGTTCGAGCCCCCGCCTGCTGTCCCTCTGCCCTGCAGGGAGCCGGCCGACACCCACCTCCCACCCTCGTCTGCAGCAGCCCCCGGCGGATCAATGCCAGCCGAAGGATGACCAGTTGTGGCCGGCAGTCCCTCAACGTGCTCGCCGTCCTCTTCTCATTGCTGTTTTCTGCAGGTCAGTCCTGCCGCTCAGGGTGCCGCCGGGACGGGGCCGGGGGGTCAGTGCCAGCCCATCCGGGGTTCTGGGTGCTGAAAAGCGGGGGCCTTCGTGCCCCGTCCCACAGGCGCCCCCTGTGACCAGCCCAGATTTGCTGCTGTTCTGTGAGGCCCTACCGTGTGTCTTGCTGGCCACGGGGGGTCCGCTGGGAGAAGCCCTCAGCCCCCGCTTTCTCCTTTCCTCCTGCAAGTCACAGCCAGGCACTGTCAGTCATCCCCATTCCATAGACGGGCAAACCGAGGCTGGGAGAAGCCCTCGGCACCCATTCTCTCCTCTCCTCCTGCAAGTCACAGCCAGGCACTATCAGTCATCCCCATCCTAGAGACTGGCAAACTGAGGCTGGGAGAGGGGAACTGACCTGCCTGAGACAACACAGCAAGTGGAGGGGCTGGGATTTGAACTCAGGCCAGCGTGAGGCTGCAGCCCAACCTCCTGGCCTCCTAGGCAGTCCTCGTGGTCCCAGCCTGGGGCCCAGACGTGCACCCACACTCCTGGTTACAAAGACTTGAGCCGGCCCGCCAGAGAAGCCAGGTCCCCGGCAAGGGGACCCAACATGGCCCAGCGGTTCTGCCCACAGACATTGACCCTCATGCCCTCAGCACCTAGAGGGGAAGGAGCTCAATAAACAGGGAATCCCCGGGCTTGGCTTTGGCTGTGCTGCTGCCCTTGAGCCCTGCCCAGCTCCCTCATGGGCCTGCGGCCAGGCTCCAGTGAAGGGACAAAGACCTGAAACCACCAGACAGGTGTCAACGACTCTGCCAGAGCCTGGGGGCCTGAGGGGGCACTGAGAGACAGAGAATGAGCGAGAGCGCCTTTCGGGCCATAGCTGAGTGTCCGTGGGTAGAGCTGAGTGTCCCTGGGCAGAGCTGAGTGTCCCTGGGCAGAGCTGAGTGTCCGTGGGCAGAGCTGGGTGTCCCTGGGCAGAGCTGAGTGTCCATGGGTAGACCTGAGTGTCCCTGGGCAGAGCTGAGTGTCCGTGGGCAGAGCTGAGTGTCCCTGGGTAGAGCTGAGTGTCCCTGGGCGGACCTGAGTGTCCGTGGGTAGAGCTGAGTGTCTGTGGGTAGAGCTGAGTGTTCCTGGGCAGAGCTGAGTGTCCGTGGGCAGAAATGAGTGTCCCTGGGCAGAGCTGAGTGTCCCTGAGCAGAGCTGAGTGTCCCTGGGCAGAGCTGAGTGTCCCTGAGCAGAGCTGAGTGTCCCTGGGCAGAGCTGGGTGTCCGTGGGTAGAGCTGAGTGTCTGTGGGCAGAGCTGAGTGTCCATGGGCGGAGCTGAGTGTCCCTGGGTAGAGCTGAGTGTCCGTGGGCAGAGCTGAGTGTCCCTGGGTAGAGCTGAGTGTCCGTGGGCGGAGCTGAGTGTCCCTGGGCAGAGCTGAGTGTCCGTGGGTAGAGCTGAGTGTCCGTGGGCGGAGCTGAGTGTCCGTGGGTAGAGCTGAGTGTCCCTGGGCAGAGCTGAGTGTCCCTGGGCAGAGCTGAGTGTCCGTGGGTAGAGCTGAGTGTCCCTGGGCGGACCTGAGTGTCCATGGGTAGAGCTGAGTGTCCCTGGGCAGAGCTGGGTGTCCGTGAGCAGAGCTGAGTGTCTGTGGGCAGAGCTGAGTGTCCGTGGGTGGAGCTGAGTGTCCCTAGGCGGAGCTGAGTGTCCGTGGGCAGAGCTGAGTGTCCCTGGGCAGAGCTGAGTGTCCGTGGGTAGAGCTGAGTGTCCCTGGGCAGAGCTGAGTGTCCCTGGGCAGAGCTGAGTGTCCCTGGGCGGACCTGAGTGTCCATGGGTAGAGCTGAGTGTCCCTGGGCAGAGCTGGGTGTCCGTGAGCAGAGCTGAGTGTCTGTGGGCAGAGCTGAGTGTCCATGGGCAGAGCTGAGTGTCCCTGGGCGGAGCTGAGTGTCTGTGGGCAGAGCTGAGTCTCCCTGGGCGGAGCTGAGTGTCTGTGGGCAGAGCCGGCTGGGCCGTGCTGGGTTGCCTTTGATGGGGCCTGGCTTCTCTGGTCAGCCAGCTCTAGTTTGGGGGAGCCGAAGGGCTCACTTTATGCCCGTTTTTGTAACTAGGGGTGTGGACGCACGTCTGGGCCCCAGGCTGGGGTCACGAGGACGGCATAGGAGGTCGGGAGGTCAGGCTCCAGCCTCATGCTGGCCTGGGTTCAAATCGCAGCCCCTCCACTCGCTGTGTCGTCTCAGGCAGGTCAGCTCTCCTTGCTGCCCCCACCCCGGGGGAAGAAACCACTCACCTTAGGTACAAATGAGGAAACTGAGGCTCAGAGGAAGACAGCGACCTGCCCAAAGCCACACGGGTGGCCAGTGGAGGGGCCCAGATTGGAGCCCAGGAGTCAGGGCTGAGTCCTCCAGACAGTGCTGTGTCCATGGGCCTCTCTCAGACCCCGAGGGTCTGGGACAAGGTGGATGGCCTCCTCCTTGGTGTCCCCTGTCTGTGGGCTGGTTTCCTGGTGACCTAGAACCCACTGGCCTCCCAGGGGAGCGTCCATCTGCCCAAGTCCCGCCGGCAGTCTCGGACAGCAGTGCGGCTCTGCCACCCCACACCCACAGGGGAGGCCCTTTGCCGTCCACCCTCCTTTGTCTAACACAGTGCTGCTTGGAGTTCCCAACAACCTGGGGCCACTGGACTTCTGTCAGTAAGCGGGGGCAGGGCACGGAGAGACTACCATGCATCCTGAACCCCTGGTCAGAGCCAGGTGCTGTCCCAGTCACCCCCATTCTGCAGACAGGGAAGCTGAGGCATGGGAGGGGAACTGATCTGCCTGACACAAGGCAGCAAGTCCCAGCTGCTGTGCCGCTCCCAGCCTAGCGCTTCTTCTGCTTGGTATGTGCTTCCGGGGAGTAGCCACGGCCTCGTCATCTTTGCCAAAAGGCCAGAGCGAGTGATGGCGACACCCCAGTGGTGGCCAGGGGAGCCGTGCCCAGTGCTGGAAGGACCTGTCCATCTCCCCTGCCCTCGCCTGGCCTCCACAGGCCCCATGTCTGCAGACCTCATGGCCCAGCAAAGGCCCCTGTCTCCTCCCCGAGGCCCCTTCCGCAGTCCCTTCCCTCCTGAGTCCTGGATAGCTTCTCAGTTCCTGTCTCAAGGCCTGAGCTGCTTCTGGCAACAGGGTGTTCCTGCCCACACCCAGCGCCCACAACTAAGTGGGAGCAGACCCTGCCCAGCTGGGGGACCCCATTACCCGCCTACTCTGCCCTCACTTCCAGCCCCCACACCCAGTACCCACAGCTGAGCGGGAGCAGACTCACACCCGGCTGGGGGTCCCCAGTGCCTGCCTGCTCTGCCCTCACCTCCAGCCCCCAGCCCCCATGTCTCCAGCAGTGGGAGCAGACTCACACCCGGCTGGGGGTCCCCATCACCTACCTTCCTCTGCCCTCACCTCCAGCCCCCACACCCAGTGCCCACAGCTGAGCGGGAGCAGACTCACACCCGGCTGGGGGTCCCCAGTGCCTGCCTGCTCTGCCCTCACCTCCAGCCCGCAGTCCCCGTGTCTCCAGCAGTGAGTCTCAGACAGGCATGCCAGGATCACCTGGGGGGCTTGCTATGGCACAGATTGCAGGTCCCACCCTGAGTTTCTGATCCAGAAGTTCTACTGAGGGCCCGAGAAACGGCATTTCTAACAAGTTCCCGGGAGATGCTGATGCGGGGGCAGGTCAGAGAGCCTCAGTTTACTCCTCTGTACAATGGGACTGGAGTCCCCGGGTGAGGCAAACGGTTAAGTGCTCACCTACCAGCCGAGAGCTTGATGATGAGAACCCACCCAGAGGCGCCTGGGTAAACAGGCCTGGTGATCGGCTTCTGAAAGGTCATGGCCGTGACAATGCTGAGGAGCAGTCTATCTGCCCACATGGGATGGCCAGGGGTCAGAGCTGACTCCAGGACAACTACAACAATGGGAATAAATGAGATAGTGCTTCGGCCTGGCACGCACATCATACCCCGAGTCCCCATCAAGGGGGTCCCCCGTTCTCCAAGGGCGGGGGAACTGGAGAGCTCCCCCGACTCCTAGAAACCTGTGACCTGTCTCCGACAGTGGCCATGTCCCTCTCCATGGAAGAGGGTGCTGTATTTGAGGGGTGCCGAATACCCCAAGGGCCGCCTGAGCCACTGCCCACCTGCCCAGCCCTGCTGGGCCTCCCCTCCGGCAGCCCCCAACAGGCTGTCTGGAAGCTGCGTGGGCTGCAGACGAATCACCTCTCGGTAGAGACAGCTTTCGACAAGCCAGAGGAGCTTTTGCAAACCCAGTGCCTTTGTGGTTGGAGAAATGTATTCAGCCGGCGAAGCCCCTTTTCAGCAGTACAAATTAGATACAGCATCCCTTTTATGAAGATACTAATTAAGCCAGCGAGAGTGGCTCCGGGTTTTTTCCATTGTTGCATTGCTCGGGCTTTCGCGCCTGTTTACCACCATCAGCACGCCGGGTAAATACCGCCCGGGGCTGGAAGACACCGCCCTGGCTCAACGGCCCCAGGTGAACAGGGGGTGGGGAAGGAGGTCCAAGCCAGGGCAGCTCTGTCAGGGTCCAGGGGTGAGGTGCGGGTGGCCGAGGCAGGCCCTTGGGAACCCCCAGATCTATGGCACTGGTTTAGTAGAAATGAGGTGCACAGGGCACGCTGCTTTGTCCATAGGGAAATCTGGTTCATGAACCCATACCGCCTACCTCCAGGCCAGTTTGGGGTTGTCAGCGGGTCCACCCCCAGTCCATGCAGTAAACCAGTAACCAGCTGCCATCGAGTGGACTCCAACTCATGGTGATCCCATATGTGTCAGAGTAGAACGCTGCTCCATAGGGTTTTCAATGGTTGATTTTTCAGAAGGAGATCACCAGGCCTTTCTTCTGAGGCACCTCTGGGTGGACTCAAACCTCTGACCTTTCATTTAGCAGCTGAGTGCTTTACCTGTTTGCACCACCCAGGGTGCAAACTGTATTTGACCACACAGTAACAAAGGTTTTTTTTAAGAAGAGCCCTGGTGGCGCAATGGTCACGTGCTCAGCTGCAGTTCAAACCTACCCAGCAGCTTTCTGGGAGAAAGACCTGGTGATCTGCTCCTTTAAAGATAGAGCCTAGAAAACCCTATAGGGCAGTTCTGCTCTGTCACATGGGGTCACCATGAGTTGGAATCGACTCGACGGCACCCAACCACAACAGTGACCAAGAAGTTGAGTGTCCTGAACTTGGGATTCAGAAAGGCCTGGGTTTGAATCTGGCTCCAGCACCGCTTGCCAGCTGTGTGGCCTTAGGCAAGTCCTTTAAGCCTCTGAGCCTCAGTTTCTCCAACTGCAAAAAGTGTCATCCCAGACCTGGCTGCTCGGCTGGCTGTGCAGTCTAAATGAGCTAAAACCTGTGAAGCAACCTAGCTCCTAGTAGGTGCTCAGTCGATGCTGGTTTCCTGATGGAGGGCCTGCTGTGTGCCAAGCTGCTGGGAGGGGACCCACGGGAGGCTAAGACGCCGCCCTGCCCCCAGGAAGCCCCCATGTAATTAGGGCTGCCATCAAGCGAGGGGCCCAGAGGAGGGGTCTCCAGAGCGGTAAGCCTCAAACTGGGTCATGGGGAGACAGGCTTCCCAGGAGGGAAGAGGCGAAAGGCCCTGGGACAGGCCAGCCCCCCAGGCCTCTCCCCTTGACACTCGTTACTGATGAGGGTTCTGGGACAGCGGGCCCCACCAAGCTGGTGACTCTGTCTTACAGTCTTGTCCGCTCATTTCCGGGTCTGTGAGCCCTACACCGACCACAAAGGCCGCTACCATTTCGGCTTCCACTGCCCCCGGCTCTCCGACAACAAAACCTTCATCCTCTGCTGTCACCATAACAACACGGTCTTCAAATACTGCTGCAACGAGACGGAGTTCCAGGCAGTGATGCAGGCGAACCTCACAGCTGGCTCCGAGGGTTACATGCACAAGTAAGTACCACAGCCCCCACTAAAATCCCACAAAATCCCCTCGCTGCAAGGATGGGAGGGCCTGGAAGGAGCCTAGGAAAAACCTCCAGGTGACCAGGGTATCTGGCCTGTTCTGCCCACTGAGCTTTAGCCTTCGCATCTGAGAAATGGGCACATAATACCTACCTCCCAGGGCTTCAGCAGAAGTTGAATGAGGTCAAGTAGATGGAGAGCTTTCAGGCAGGCACCGAGGTGCTTGGGCCTGGAAGCCACAGGGCCCAAATTCCTTTCTTTATCCGTTATTCATTCAACAAGTATTCATTGACACAATTGCCCCAGCAACGAATCCTTTTCAGCCTCCCTCTTAAGGTGATTTGAACACAGTGAGAGCAGGGCCCTGATGGAGGGGACCACCAGGGTGAGGGGTGGTGGGTGAGGGAGCACAGAGGAGGGACACCTAGCTCAGCCCGTGGATTTAGACAAGGTTTGCTGGAGGTTAGGAGGAGGATGGAGAAGAGGAGAGTTTGTCAGCAGAGAGCCGGCGGACTGTGCTAAGTAAACGGGGCCGAAACAGCATTCGTTTCTCTTATTATGAATGAAGCTGTGTTGCTATGAGTCAGAATCAACTCAACCTCAGTGGGTTTGGTTTTTGGTTTTGAGCATCTTTTCACATGTTTGAGGGCCATTTGCATTTCTTTTACTATGAGCTAGCTGCTTATAGCCTTTGCCATTTTTCTACTGAATTTCTGGTCTTTTTCTTATTTATTTACAGGGACTCTTTATATATGAAAGAAATACGATGAGTTACAAATATTTTCACAGTGTGTCTTCGAAGTTATGATGATTTTTCTCATGCTTACTTTTTTAATTGTTGTGCAGTCAAATTTTTTCCCTCTGGGTTTTGCATCATATGGAGAAAAGCTTTCCCTGCTCTGAGACTGTCAAAAAAAATAAAACTTACATTGTCTTCTACTTCTTTTATGTTTTCATTTTTTTTCCTTTAAATCTTTGATCTATCAGAAATTTATTTTGATATAAGTTTTGAGGTAGGAATCCAACTTGATTTTGTTTTCACCCAAATGGGTAGCCAGGTGGGGCCCTGGTGGTGTAGTGGTTAATAGCTCAGGCTGCTAATCAAAAGGTTGGCCGTTCAAATCCACCAACTGCTCCTTGGAAACCCTATGGGGCAGTTCTACTCTGTCCTATAGGGTCGCTATGAGTCGGAACAGGTTTGGTTTGATTTTTGGTTTGGATAGCCAGTTGTCCCAACACTTTCATTGACTTGTCCGTCTTTTCTCCCCTTTTGTGAAAGGCAAATTTATCATATACTGTGACATACCAAAGATGAGTATTGGGGCTGACTGGAGGTTTTCTCCTGGGTTTTTCATTGATCAACTTTCAGATAGTACTTCATTGTGTTAACTGCTGTGGGCTTTTAATATGTTTTAATATATATTTGATCTGTTCCCCCTGGCTCTTTTGTCAGATAAACTTTAGAATTAGTGCTGTCTAACTCCCTACCGTCACCAAAAAAAATCCAGTTAGTCTTTTTTACTGAGGTTGTGTCGAATTTATTAATTAATTTAAGGAGAACTGACCTTCCATGAACATGATATTCAAGAACGTGATGTGTCTATTTGTTCAATTTTTTTTCATCGCATTTAGATTTTATACATATCTTTGACATTCATTTCTATGTATTTCTTTTTGTGTAACTATTATAAATAGGGTCTTTTTTCCCACTCTATCTTCTGACTATTGTTTTGATGGTAAAAGCTAATGATTTCTATATATTAATTTTATACTCGGCCCCTTTACTGAAATTGCTTATCTATGGGGTGCGTTTTCAGTTGACTTTCTTAGGCTTCCGATGGCATCGTCTGCAAACAATGATAACTGTACCTCCTCCTTTCCACTTTTGGCGCCTTCCCTCTCGTCTCATCCAGTCACATTGGCTGGTGTCTCTAAAACATTCATTCAAATTATCGGGCATTCTTGTCTTCTTCCTGACTTAATGGGGATGCTTCAGATGTTTTCTCAGTAAGCTTCAGGCTGATTCTTGAGTTGAAATAGATGTGTTTTTTTAATCTTCAGAAAAAATCCATTGGAAAAGAGTGTTTGTTGAGTGACAGAGGGATGAGCGAAACTACTGGGATGTGGTAGGGTAGGTAGGGTAGTGTGTGAGCCCCGATCTCTCTGTCTGATGTTGGGGCTTAGTACTTTACCACCGTGCTGTGCTCACTGGGGCAGGAGGGAGGGTGCTGCGTCTTCCCTTGGGTCAGCAGGAGACGCAACACCCTAAGGACGACCATCCAAATCTCCCCTCCTCCCACCTAGGCCAACTCCCCAGCCCTCCTTCCTCAAATGCACCAGAGCTTCCCCTGAATATCTTTCCATCTGCTCAGGTCTTAGAATAATTCTATGTGTGAAGTCGTTTAGCAAGCCCTGCCCATCACCTCTGGGCTGGAATCAGGGCTGGAATTTGACCCAAGCCTTTTATAAGGCCAAGGACTGATTTCCTGCGGGAGAAGGGCGGTGCCGGGGCTGCAGTTGGGACCTCGAAATGTTATAAGTACCAAATGAAAGCCAGGCCAAGGCTTGGCAAAACTGCCAGACTTCTACAAGGCTCTGGCAACCCGTGCCTGGGATCCTCACTTTGAAGCCCACGGGTTCTATAATCTGCACATTACACGCGATTTCTCCACCATTTCAGCACACTGGGCCCTGGTTACTGACGATGAATAATTGCATTTGGCTCCAAAATAAAGGCCTTCCCCTGGGAGGAATGGCACTGTTGCAGATCGGAAGTTTAAGTTTATAGTCTTTAGAAAGTGGTTCTGGAGCACTTGAAGTGGGCCAGGCTCTGTGCCCAGCACCTTGTCCTCACCTGTCGCTGAATTCACCTGCAGCCCTTTGGAAGATGAGGCAGGAGAGGTTGTGTGACTTATCTGATCCATGAAGCAGGTAGGGGGTGGAGCCAAGAGCCAACCCAGGTAGTCTGGAAGTCGCTTTAGTAAGCCTGGGGCCCGCCAGTGGAGGTGAATCAGAGCAGGGAGGGTCCCCAGAGCGCCACTGACATTTGGGACTGGACAAATCTTTGTCTTGGGGGTCTGCCCTCTGCACTGCAGGGTTTGAGCAGCACCCCTGACGTCTACCCACCAGATGCCAGTAGCACACGTCCCCAGTTACGACAACCAAAAATGTCCCCAAACCAAAACCGAAACCAAACCCGGTGCTGTTGAGTCAATTCCGACTCACAGCGACCCTATAGGACAGAGCAGAACTGCTCCAAAGGGACTCCCAGGAGCGGCTGGTGGATTCTAACTGCTGTTGTTTTGGTTAGCAGCCAAGCTCTGAACCAGCGCACCCCAAATGTGCCCTGGTGGTGGGGGAATCACACCTGGTTGAGACCCATAGTCTAGAGAATCCTCTTGTTATCCCCCGCTCCTCCCCTTTCCATAGACAGGGGCACAGAGGCTCAGAGAGCGCCCCTCACGCAGGCAGGGAGTCCAGCCCCAGTCCCCCGCCCCAGCCCTGCCCCCACGCAGGCCTTTGCTGTTACACATGCTCCTGGGTCTCTGCTAACCAAAAGGTCGGCAGTTCGAATCCACCAGCCGCTCGTTGGAAACTATGCCGCAGTTCTACCCTGTCCTATAGGGTCGCTATGAGTTGGAATCAACTCAATGGCAATGAGGTTTTTTATTTTTTTATTTTTTTTTGGTTTTTGGTTTTTGGGTCTCACAGAGGGAGACCATGTGCCTGACTTTTGTGCATTTCAAATGTTTTTAAGAAGGAGGCTGCACAGGCCAGACGAAGTAGCAGCTACTGGCCGGGCTCACTGTGGTCAGCGGGTGATGTGCAAGGGAGCCACGGGGGTGGAGGGGAGGGCAGGGCCTGGGAGGCAGGGCCTCTTAGGCTGGGGGGCGGTGCTTGGACTTTCTCCTGAGGGCAGCAGGGCCCCCAAGGGCTCTAGGCCGAGAGAACCTGGTTGGGTCTGAGCTGCATGGGTGGTGCATGGAAAGAGGCGCACACATCACCGAGATGACCACCAGTCCAGCAGCTGGGACCCAGGCTGCCCCGCCTTCTCAGCTGCCAGGGCTCTGGGACCCCGAGGAGAAGGGAGCCAGGGAGCTGGACCAGGGCCTGGCTTCCAGGTGGGCCCAGCGGCAGAGGGGTCAACTGATGAGCCCAGGGCAGTGCAAAGTGGGGACTCGAGTGTAGGGGGTGACGCTCAGGAGCTGTGCCTGGGACAGGTCATTGAATGGAATGGGACAGGGCCCGAGAGGGGTGAGGAAGGTTGTAAAGTGGCTCCAGGTGTGTGAGGGGAGCCGGGTAGAGTCCACCAGGTTCTGGATAATTCCTCTATGACTGCCCTGCCCTTTGGGGGTTCTGACCCCACAATAATCCCAGGCCTCTCTGGGGAAGACACCTATGGTGTCTCCGTAATCCTCACGGTGACTCTGAGGAAGCCAGGAGGCCGCGGCGCGGACTGCCACACCTGCCTGAGGCCACAGGGTGGAAAGGGCTAGAGGCAAGGCCTGAGGGGCCTGTAGCCTTTGCCTGGCCAACGGGCTCTGCATCCAGGAAGCCAGGCGTCCCCTGATGCTGGGGATGGTGGACGTTCCCGTAACCCTGGCAGGTGAGTGCCCGCCAGCTCCCATCCACATGGGCCAGGTCAGCTTTCTCTGATGTACGGGGCCAGTTAGCAGCCGAGGCAGCCTGTGCCCACTCCTTCGCCCACCCTGCCTTTGGGGCCGTCTCCCTTCCGAGCCCGTGAATCAGTCGGGAGGCGGAGCCAGTGACAGGGAAAAGGAGAGCGTTCCTGATGACTTATTTATTGGTGTTTTTCCGGAGGAACAGAATGGTTTGTTTTGCTTCTGGCTGCCTGGCAGAAAGGCAGAAAGGCACCTCCAGAGGAAGCCACCTCACCGAGTCCACCAGCCCGCGAGAGGCCCACTTCCAGCCACACGGGAAGGCTGCTGGGGACAGGGCTGGGCAGACAGGCCTTGCGGTTTTAGGAC